TAATGACGGCAGAATAATAAAACAATTAAAAAGGAAGGAGTTGAATACCCGATGATTACCAGTAGATGTAAAAGAAAGGAAAAAAAAATTGGAGTAAAGAATTAATTTCCTTACCAGCTCGCATTACATTTAAACACCTTTTTAACCACTAAGGCAATTTTAAAACTAATAGGATTCATCTATAATTACATAGTTAAGTAAAATTTATGTAAAAAGGAATTAAGTATTTCCCCTCTGGGTGAAATGAGAAAGGGGAACCTATGTAAGCATTTAACTCCTACCAAACACACTCTTGTGGTGCTATTAATGTATAAAATCTTTATTAACCCAGGCCAAGCGTTAAATCATTAGCCCATTTAATCAAGTGTAGTGTACATTTCATCGTGTCAAGAAAATGTATCCTCAGCAATGATTAGGCTAAACGGAAGCAATATGTATAAGACTAACTCCAGCCAAAACTTTTTATTCCCATTTGGAGGGAGCAGGGAAGGGTTAGAGCAGCCTTGCTCAACCTTTTTACCCAGGAGGCACCTTTAAAATCATTTTCAAGCCACAGGGAACTCCTGTTAAAAATGGTTACATCTACAGCTCATGGTACATTCGTGTGATCAGTAAGTAGTACATATAATATAATTATAAATACAAATATAAAGAATGTGGTGTACCTGGTGTATTTGAAAGTTGAATCATTTATTTTGATCTGCAGGACATTTTTTTTTTTTTTGCTGCAATAGTTATGAAAAAAAATAATGAAGTACTAATAATGGATAGAAAAGAAATCCAAACAGTAAAAATGTTACATTGATGGTAATTGGAGAAGGGCCTACTTATATTTATGGACAGTGGGAGAAGGTCCCTCTTATGATAGTTTCAAGAGGAAAGAATGTTTCACATTATTGAAAGACAGCATTGCATTAGTGGTCATTAAGAAAAATGCTCTGGTGCTTTGGGGGCTTTTGGGAAGAATGCCCAGTTACCATATACAGGGTGTTGATGGGAATCCACTTACATGTACTAAAAAGATCACTGGTGCCTGTGGTTGCTTAACTGAAAGAACAAAAGGAAAGGCTCTACTAGTCTCACACCTCTGGCTCTGTCAACCTCTGTCAGGTTGACCATGGAGCTATGAAGGCACCATGAGGTCAATTCATTAGGGTGTTTTACATATTTGCCCGGAGTTGTTCTTCAAGTAGATGTAAATGCTAACTGGACAACATTTATTTGGTCTCCTTTGCAGCCATTTTTTCTCCATGCACTCCAGCCATGGCTGCATGGCATTCATCGGGGTGGGTTTTCTGATGGTGACAGTGGAGCAAGCCTGTTTAATGTGTGTTGGTAAGACCACTCGAAGTCCCCAGTGGGAGAGTGTGTGGCAGCGTGACAAAGCAGGAGAACAATTAGGAGGAACTGAGTACACAAAACACAAATAAAAGGACCCTCGGGGCAGGATCACTAGGTATTAGGGATGTTCAGATACCAAGTACCGTACTCAGTACAAGTACAAATACTTTTCCAGTTCCAAGACTAGACTAGAGAAAAATTCAAAAGTTAGGAGACAGCTGTCATTTCTAAGGAGCACACGGAGCTCCTGGGATTTGTACATCTCTGTTTTAATATATGATTTGTTTTTTATAAATATATATAAGTAAGGCACCAACACCATTTTTTCAAGTACAAGTACTGATACATTTTTGTTTATTGTCATGTGACAGTTTTTCTAAAACAATACAGACTAATGATTTCAGGACAGTGGTGGAGCACCAGTGCCGGGTCTCAGCTGCAACCGCTCCAACCCTGGTACCCTGGTAGTTCTCCTGAAAATGCCAACTATCGGCACTGGTATCTTAACATCCCTACTAGGTATTATTTTCATGGAAGCAGCACATTCATGTTAAAGTATATTTACTACATCTATTCCCTAAATCCTTCAGCTGGCCATAGGGCTACCTATCTGATAGACTCGATCGACAGCCCATGGTGAACACACAACAGACTGACAACACTGCTGCTAATTGCGAGGCAATAGCTTAACGTTTTCATTGTGCAACAGGAAGTGCTTTCAGTGGCAGGATCTCCAGGTAAGGAACAGATTTACAAAAATGAGATAAATTTGGGTTCACATAAACATTTAAACCTTTCTGAGATTTTTTTTTTAATCAATAAGTCTTTATTGGGTTACAATGCAGAATTACCAGGCAAGGGCATAGGAGCAATAACAGTGCATGCCATCTGGTTACAAAGGTTAGATATGTAGATAAGCCTATATGAGATTTTTGATTGATTTTACATATACTTTAAATTAATTCAATGCCAAATTCTTGTGGCGCAGGGAACGGGTCTTTCTGCAAACCAGGCAGGGTGGGACATTGTTGCGGATCCTGTTAGTGAAGGTTCAAGTCACAGAACTTTATTTACTGATCCACAAAGTCCCCCATGGCACCTCCCTGCTTTGTTTGGAATGGAAAACTGGAACAGCTTGCCCGCACCTCTCCACTCGGACATTAAATCAACATGGCTTTATTAGTGGCCCTAGAATGCCAGCTGAGCCATCCCTAAGCCTGTCACCGTGATGTCTTTATCTGTAACCAAACCAGACGTGAGCTCCTGGCAGCTTCAGGAGGTGACAACAAATCCAATTAGCTCCTTTCCATGGTGCCATAATACTAGTGAGAATCGTCCTGACAGGGAGGGTGACTCGAATACCCAGCACAGTAGGGCACATCCTTCGAAATATAAAAAAAAAAAAAAACAAATAAAAAAAAAAACAAGAATTACAGCTCCTAATTGCCAGGGCTCCGCTTTGAACGAATGTTTAAACCCCAGGACGGGCATTGACGGATCTGATTAAAGGGTGACGCGGGAAGGCCTCATCTAGCCATCCAAACGATCACATTTATACACAAACAAAAGAAAGTGCTTTAAACGATAGCAAGCTACTCTTTAATAAAATGCCATTAATGACGGGTCTTTGGTGCCCGTAGGTGGTAAACGCAGCATGTTGCTTTTGGCAGCCAGCAAAGCCAAAACAGCCTTGAAACAGACTTTTTCACTTGGATGGCGGAACAAGAAAAGTTGTTGGATCCAAGTAGACTACAGACATGATTCACATTACGCAGATTATCTGAGAATTCTGCAGAGTGTGTTGTTTCGCATTTGCATTTTTACCCATGTATAATATATCAAAACGAATATAATGCCACACATAGCTGAGTTCTGCTATGCCAGTCTGTTCATTTAAAAAAAACATTTTAATGTGATTTTTACGTTTATTACTGCAAACTTTGAGTTTTAGATGGATGCCAAGGTTGAAAAATAAGACAATAGTCTCATTTGTTTGAAAAAAAAAAAACAACTGTTCATGTAAGCTTTAACATGTTAAAGTCATTTTCAAAGTCTTTTTTTTATTAATTCTGCAGCGTCCATTAAAATAACAGCTGGTGATCCTGCCATGAAGGTGTTGGAAATGCAACAGCATATTGAGATGTAAAATGTCTTTTGAGCTGTAGGTGGGGCTGTAGTGCAATGCTAGTCTATGTTCGTTTTCTATATGCATACTTATTATGATATACAGGAAGTTCTCTCTGTATGCTGTATCATGCTGTATTCTGATATAATGTACTTTCTGTATGATGCAAATGCTGTATTCTGATGTAATGTTCTTCTAAGAAAGTAAAACTCAATTCACCATTCCTCAAGATCTCAGTGCTTCATCTAAACACATAACCAGTAAAAGGCACTTTCTGTTACAGGGTGACAATGCTCTGCACCTGTCTCCCAATTGTGTTTCTGCTTTATCACATATTCCTCCATTTCAGACTACAAGAAGGCGTGCTGGCACATTTTGCCCAGGCATGGTCTATTGTCTTCAGGGCCATCTCCTTAATGAGCAGGGTTGCCACCTTTTCTTCAAGTGAAACCTGAACACTCTAGCGCTGCGCACAGCAATTTTGTTTTTTGAGAATTTAGAGGAGAGAGTGAGGAGAGACAGCCAGGAAAAAGAGCAAGAAGAGACTCTCAGGTGGGCCGTGTGACACTCAGGTGGGCTGTGCGCCTCTCAGGTGGGCTGTGCACCTCTCAGGTGGGCTGTGCGACTCTCTAGTGGGCTGTGTGACTTTCAGGTGGGTTGTGCGACTCTAAGGTGGGCTGTGTGACTTTCAGGTGGGTTGTGCGACTCTCAAGTGGGCTGTGCGACTCTCAAGTGGGCTGTGCGACTCTCAAGTGGGCTGAGCGACTCTCAAGTGAGCTGTGTGACTCTCAGGTGGATTCTGCGACTCTCAGGTGGGCTGTCTGGGCTATGATGTCTCACCAGGGGTCTGCAGGCGGGTAGCACGTTCTCAGAGAGTCAGAGGAGGAGAAGGCAATCACAGATGTGGCTGCCAAGGTCCTCGGCAAGCTCGATCTCAGGTAGCTGCACCTGCTATAACTCCGGATCTTCCTCTGAGCTGTGGGCACCTGTAAACAGGCACAGGCTGCCTGCAGCTCAGAGGAAGATCCAGTTTCAGTCAGATGCGGCTGGCCGAGATTGTGCTTGCTGAGGACCTTGGCAACTGCATCTGTCAGACATTGTAAAAGACGTTTAATTAAAGTGCCACAGTTTGACTTAAAAAATACATTAAAACATTTTCAAACAAAAAAAGCTGCAAACAAGCAGCAGCTCCAATGCAGAGTGCACAGCACCCTTTTAAAATACCCCCAAGCTGTACAAGTTTTTGTATCCATGAGTGTTTCATGCTCCTACTGTAAACTAGCATGTGCTAAAACACAGGCACTATAGTTGATCTGACACTCAGAAGGGATGAGGGCCCACATTTGATAGGAGGTAATGGCTGCAAATGACCTAGAGAAAAAGATTCCCTGCACAGCAGCAAATGCAACCACACACTCACCATAGGTTGCATTTTTGTCACTAATCCAGTGGAGTGCCCATTCAGCCTTCTTTTTCACACAAAAGAAGGCTGAATGCCTGGTACATGTCTGGTACATCTCCGGCAGCATTTCAATTGCATTGCACAAGAACTCCCTCTCTTTGGGATCTTTAATATATGTGTTAATGAGAAGGCTGTACATCTCCGGATGAATATTCTCCATTGCAATTTGAAAGCCATAGAAACAGCGCGCTTCTGTGACTTGTACTTCCTGACTGAAACGCTCAACCAAGTTCTTGTTTACATTCTCTGCGTTCTGGACGATCTTGCGGGCCGTCTTGCTGGCCAGGACCCAAGTGTTGCTCAGAGAAGGTGGCGTGTTCTCCTTGTTCACCAGGCTCAGGCTCTTCATGGGTACACAATCTCATTCATGGCTCCGAGAGGCTTGCAGAAAGCCAGCATGGTGACAGGAGAAGACTAGTGTGGGAAGATGACGCAGCGGACACAGGCGGGAGCCGACGACTATGTACTGAGCGAGGGGAAGATCATCTGCCAGAGTGTCTTGTGTCCTGGTGCCCGCTGGCTGGACACCCAGACACAAGACTCCAAAATCAGACTGTCCAGGTGGCAACCCTGTTAATGAGGCAGCCTCTTGCCTCAGGCTGCATCTCTTTGGGTCACGTGGGGGGGATTGGCAGGCAGAGCGGCATGGTTTGCAGTGTGTTTGAGTGTGTCTACCAACCCCTTTCCAGCCTGGCTCTTTCCTTGCTAAGCAGGATACTGGCCAGAGCGTCCCAGGTTGCTGGGAGCACATCTCCCAGCTCAGCTCTTAGCAACTTTGGACGCTCTGACCGGTGTCCTGCCCAGCTCCTGGCAACCAGTGATGTCAGTGGTTGCCAGGAGCTGGGCAGGATGCTGGCCAGAGCATCCCAGGTTGCTAAGAGCCAGTGGCTGTCATATGTCTTGCAATGACTCATGGGCCTTGTAGTTCCACAACAGCTGGCGTGCCGAGGTAGCCTTCCGCTGTTTTAGGGTGCATTGACACCCTGCCACAGAGGCTTCTGACGGAGACAACAAGTGTCTGTTTCAAGACACATTACGCAGGCATGGTCCACTGTTGTCACTATCAAGCCTTAGTTCACTAAATATAGAAGCATACGGGAACTACTAGAGCCAATTAAATACAAAGAAACACACACACACATAGGTTGACCTGGACGGACCTGTGTCTTTATTCAACCGCACCTACTATGTAACCCCATGGTGAACCTGTAAGGTGACCTGATGGAGTTATTCAGTTATGGTTCACATCTACTTTTGTGCCTTTGCAGCTCCTGATTCTTCATTGTAAAAGCTATTTCCGACAAGAGTACGGAAAACCTACTTGAAGCGGCGTGGACAGCAGCGAAAGCACTTTTTTCCTCCATGTGCGCCCGGTTTGGATAAAGACAATATGCCGTGTAATCTAGAGGCATTTCAGCCTTGTCCCGCGTCCCATTGCAGTGAAGTGGGAGGTGGCACTGAATCATACACCCATCACTCTAGTCAATGGAGAAAAGGCGGCATTGTATAATTAAGCTGTCATGAAGCCAATGGCGGCATTGTCTGCCTCTGTGTCCTGGTGGTGCACTGTGGGCACTAACAGCAAAGCAGGAAGAAGGCTTTGGGTACTGAAGAGATAATCACTGGGATCGTTTTCACTGAAGCAGGTTGCACATGTGGATAGATGCAGCAACCGGCCAACTTATTCCAGGCTAATTGGGCATGCCATCTAGACATGTGGCTGCTTTGTGCCGCTTCCCCCAAAAAAAAAATCTGATTTATACGAGCCTAGACCTACTGGACCCTCTTTAGCCGAGCCTGGCGGCTACGCCATGTGCAATTATTTTCAACAAAGATTGCAGCCTGTTTGATGCGTCGATCTAGAGATGTATGGTGTCAATGTTACAGCTAGACTGACTAGGCACACAAAATAGAGTCTGCAAAAGGGGGGCGTTTTCCTCCCTCCCAAAAATCCTTGTTGATGGCTGTTTATCTGAGAATTAAGGAATTTATGGGAAAAAAGAATATCATCCAAGGGAAATCATGTGGTTGATCATTATGGATTCCTTCAATAGGTTTCAGGACTTAAAGCAGATCTATACCCCGAAATCTCATATAAGCTCTAACATGCCAGAGTGATATTAAAGCCAAAATGTTTTTTGGCTATTTCAAATGCTGATTCAATTACAATGGATGCTGCTCCTTGATGTTTACAGGTTTCAGTTTCCTGCAGAATCAGCTGGTCCCCTGAGCTCTGACCCCTTAGGGTGGCTCCTTTCCCTTGCAGGGTCTTATGGAGCCACCCTTGTGTGTGCTAGTAAGCTGTGTGTGTGTCCACAGGCACAGCAAGGTAAGACCAGTGGCATCACATGGGGGGCATGGGGGGTATGGACCACACTCGGGTGACACCATTGAAGGGCTGACACCAAAATAAATGTCAGTCATTTTGGTGTCGCCCCCTCTGAAAAGTCGGGCACTCGGTCCTGGACCGAGAGCTCGACAGCTGTAGGAGAGAGGAGGGGACCCAGCTGCAAGGGCACTGTGCTGCCACTCCTGGGGGCAAAATTGATTGTCTGTTGATATTAATAAATGCAAACTCCCGGTTTCTGCTAGGAAAGGGTATCAATTAAGTTTCTCTGGGGAGGGGTTCACGAGCATCACAAAGGACAGTTGAAGTATAGTCACTGGAAGATTTGTATTGGAGCTGATAGAACAATGTTTCAGACTTGTCTCTAATTCCAGCTCTTAGATCTTCCATATGCATAGGGGTCTATTTACAAACAATTTACAGAGCCATTTGTCTTGCGTATCTCTGTGAATGTTCATTTTGTGCCAATAGGAGCAAAAACAAGCGCTCTTAGTATATTCTTTTGAGGTCGAACGTACTGCAATGCAATACCACATTATAGCCACTAGATGGAGCAGATGAGCATAGGAAATAAGTATTTATATGTTTTGTTAACCAAACCAACGTTAACAGTCACCAAAGTAATAAACAAAATAATATACAAATAAATAATCTTAACGATTGTTGGATTTGAGAAGGGGTCTTTGGGTGCCCAACAGCCCAAATAAGGCCTCTCCTAAAAACTGCTCCCATGTCCGCACCCCAGGACAGTTACTGCTCCCAAGTTCCAAGGGGCCAGGACACCTGACAAATACTGACACCAATGGGTGGAAGCACCCATACCAGTTATTATGGCCCATCATTTGTGACTCAGATTTTCCCCCTAACCCGCCAAGCTGTCGTGACATAATCTAACATTAATGTAACATTAATCTAAGCAATTGTGATTACATGATGTATATCACTGTATGATTATTCCAGTTATAGGCAGTGCAGAGCTTTAGGTTATTATAGTCAGTGGTAGTTCACATGGATATTAAAGCACAGATCAGATGTAACTGATAATGTAATGGTTGGGGAATAGAGCTATATATGGAACATGAGACATTATTTCCTGCTCTGAGAGGATTTGGAACAGCGTGAAAAACAAAAAATGAACGACAAGCTGACAGATCAAACATGACACTACAAAGCGAGGGGAGAACAAGGAGGCAGCAATCCACTGCTACAGTCCCACAATGCTTTAAAACAAAGCGGACAGCTCTCCATACATGCCTGCGTCCACGCTTACCAGATCTTATACGTGTGCTAGGGAGCATCCTCTGGTGGTTACATGGCCAGTTCTGGTCTCCTTCGTGCTCAGTCACTCTAAGGGGCTAATTAGTGCTTTTAATATGCAAATCAGATCCTGAGAAGATTAAATCTGGAAAAAAAACAGCTGGCGAATATGTTATTTTAATTATTATGCCAGTGAAATATGAATTCTGTTTTGGATGATGACAGGGAAAGCCTGATGATGAGGGCTCCTATTTACTAAAAGGCTTTTGTGGGAAGAACCAAAATACAACATTTACTTTCCTTTTTTTTTTTCATTTTCTTTTTTTTAATTTGTCCTCAGCGCCACTGAAAAACTGGAGCTTGGGGAAGTGGGCAGGGGTTGCTTAGAGGCGTCACAAGACTCTATGTACATCAAGTATAACACAGGGCTCCTCTCATTTTTAGCAGGGAGTATAATGGAAGACTATATACTGTTAAACAACCCAAGCTATTCAGGTAGGTATGCAATGTAGATTTCCTTAAGACCTATATTGGATTAGGGTCTCTGATTTTTAAAGAGCTCTTCAGAAAAGTCCTTCTTAGTCCCAAACAAAACAACCTTTACTATCTACCCCAATTCTGAACTCTGTAATAAAGAAAACACTAGACCCTTCACTGCCAAACTCATTTTGAATGTTATAAAAAAAAAAGCATTGGACCCATCACTTGCAATCTCATTCTGAACTCTACCAAATAATTATTGCTACCTTCACCACCAACCACATTCTGACCTCTGTGCCATAGAAAATAAGGATACCTTCACTGCCAACCTCATTCTAAACTCTGCTAAAGAAAACACTGGATCTTTCACCGCCAACCTCATTCTAGACTCTGCTAAAGAATACACTGGATCCTTCACCGCCAACCTCATTCTGAACCTTCTAAAGAAAACACTGGACCCTTCACTGCCAACCTCATTCTGAACCCTTCCAAAGAAAACACTGGATCCTTCACTGCCAACCTCATTCTGAACCCTTCTAAAGAAAACACTAGATCCTTCACTGCCAACCTCATTCTGAACCCTTCTAAAGAAAACACTGGATCCTTCACTGCCAACCTATTCTGAACCTTCCAAAGAAAACACTGGACCCTTCACCACCAACCTCATTCTAAACCCTTCCAAAGAAAACACTGGATCCTTCACCACCAACCTCATTCTAAACCCTTCTAAAGAAAACACTGGATCATTTGCTGCCAACCTCATTCTGAACCCTTCTAAAGAAAACACTGGATCATTCGCTGCCAACTTATTTTGAATGTTACCTAAAAAAAAACACCGGCTCCTTCAGTGCCAACCTTTTTCTCAACTCTACTAAAGAAAACATTGGCACTTTGTCAACCTCATTCTTAACTCTATTAAAAATAAAATGGATCCTTCACTGCCAACCTCATTCTAAACTCTACCAAAGCAAACACTGGCTCATGCACTGCCAACCTCATTCTGAACTCTACCAAAGCAAATATTGGATCCTTTACTGCCAACCTCATTCTAAACTCTACCAAAGCAAACACTGGCTCATTCACTGCAAACCTCATTCTGAACTCTACCAGAGCAAACACTGGATTCTTCACTGCCAACCTTATTCTGAACTCTACCAGAGCAAACATTGCATCCCTCGCTGCCAACCTATTATGAACTCTACCAGAGCAAACACTGGATCCTTCACTGCCAACCTATTGTGAACTCTACCAGAGCAAACATTGCATCCTTCGCTGCCAACCTATTCTGAACTCTACCAGAGCAAACACTGGACCCTTCACTGCCAATCTATTGTGAACTCTACCAGAGCAAACACTGGATCCTTCACTGCCAACCTTATTGTGAACTCTACCAGAGCAAACATTGGATCCTTCACTTCCAACCTCATTCTGAACTCTACCAGAGAAAATATTGGATCCTTCACTGCCAACCTATGCCAAATGATTTCTCCAAAAACACTGGATCTTTCAGTGCTAACCTCATTCAGAACTCTGAACCAAAGCAAACACTGGTGTTTTTAGTGGCAATGGCATTCTCTTAACCAAAGGAAACACTGTAACCTTCACTGCCAACATAACCCTAATTTGCCTTGGTGCTCTCTCAGTAGAGAGACATAAGTCTGTGCCTGGATCATTATCTCTCCATGTTTTGCCTCCTGTTCAAGTGTTTACCTTCTTCCACAAGTTACTGTATCTCTTCAGTAAAAAGATTAACAGACAAGAGAGTTTGACATTCATCTGTTCAACCACTACATGTTGAAGAGCCACCTTCTGCTTGGGATCTTACACTAAGTGGACTAAGCAAGCCTTTGCTAGAAATTTCAAGTTTGGGTTGACCATGGGCTCGAACTGAACTCTAACTGTTTGCAGTTCAGGAAAGCGGTGAACTAATGTGTTTTTTTTAGCCGCCATAGCAACCAGTTACCACATTATGCACTTCCATTTGAACTGAAGCCCGTTGGCCTAAAAGGGCCTATAATAGGTGTTTTCAAATGTGCCAGCAACCTCCCTATAAAAGTCAGGTTTCCCATCTGCTTTTTGTCAGTGTGCGGGGCTGAAGTAGATAGGGACAGCTGACATAGCTTCTTCAGGGAGAGATAGTTACTGCAAAACAGTGCTATATAGAACTACATGCAGAGCTACACAATGCTACAGTATATACAATGCTACAAAACAGCGTGGACTGTGGAGTGTACTCTCCTGTTTTCACCGTGCTGTATTGTGCTTTATTACTGTGAATTGCAGTTACATATTATTGTGTACCACCCTATGTAGTCATAGTAAATAGACCCAACAGTCCTTAGGGCAACCTCTTTGTATGTGTCAGAAACACTTAATGTTGCTGTTTAGCTCCTGGGTCCCCCTTGCAATTTTGGGGACTACACTATCTTACACTATATTAATTGATTGAAAATTTGTTTCATTTTACTTTCATTCACATTTTAATTTTTTCTTATGTTTCTGCAAGATGAAAAAAAAATCAGTGTGAACTGTTGCTGACACAGGCAAACTGCCCTAACAGAACATCACCGCATACTTGCGTGGTACAGTCTAATGCACCAAATCACCACGTTGTGAAATATACCAAAGCAGCATAATCTCAATTCCCCTATTGCCACAGGTGCTAATAAACTCAGGCAAGCTCCTCAATGCATCATGTCTGGAAGGCAAAGGCAGAGGTTCACCACTTGCAGCTAGTAAGGGGACAGTAGCTTATGCATTACAGCACTTTAGTGATTTGCAACCTCTGCCTGCAATGTAGCAAGCATGGTAAATCTATCTGTTATTTGGCACCACATGCATAAGAAGACACATGACTGTTCACTGCAAAGTTTGATGGTAGCAACACATAAATTATATAAGTTGTCAGCAAAAGGCCTGCACTGTTCCTCTTTTCCCCTATTTTTCCACCCCTTCACCCCAATCCACAGTAATCTCCATCTGCATCCACTGCAACATCTGCTACCTCACGTCTGAAAAGGGGTATGAGAGGCCTACTTTAGGGTACAAGCAGGGAACAGGGTCAGTATAGGGCCATGCAGAATAGCACCAAGCATAAGCATCAACATAGCTGTATGTCTCCTAACCCCATCCCGCCATCTCCGGCAACTGGAGCTGCTGGGGCATAAGAAAAATTACAGCTTCTCCCGTTCCAGCTGGTGGAGTCTGCTCCCTTTCGGGACTTTGCTGCACCACAGTAGAATGTACCCAGCCACCATTTTTTTGCCACCCCTTGCCTCTATCAGCATGGAGAAGGTAGTGTCTGTGTGTTGCTGGACTACACAGTCATAGGTAGGGTGCACATGACCAGCAAGCATGAGTAGGGATGTAACATTCATTATATGGTGCACTCGTTAAATTTGCTGACAGCCAGGAAGAATGCAGGACTGGACACAAGTGCTGCAGTCCCATGTTCTTCAACTTGGTGATGGTGACAGCTCATTTAACTTTATCCCCTCCACCTCATTGTTCCTAGTTAGTTCCTAGTTAGATATCCTGGCTTCCTTGATGTCCTAAGGCAGGCCAGCAGCAGAGTGGGCGCCCACTTCAGGCACTCATACTCAGCGAATGTTCACCTGGCTGAAATTCAGCAGGAACACATGTTAATTGGCTCCTGTCTAAATTGGCCCTCTTATGTATGCATGGGAGGTAGGATTGTATGCTCCTTGAGTGTAGTCCCTGCCCTCAAGTAACTGATGTGGCAGGGGCAAGGACTGATGTGAATGTGCACTAGGTAAAAGCTGTGCATAAATTGTCGGTGCTATATACAGTAAGTACCTGTAATAAACAATAATGCAGCTCTGTCCTAATTCATACATAATCAAATGTGTATTTTTAGTGCAAGAATCTGACTTGGTATGAGCCTCTTGCAGTCTGTTTACAGCAGGGCTTGGGCAGGGAGAAAATGCACGAGGAGGCAATCAGTTTTGATACAGAGAGGAGATAGAAGCATACTGATAAGAGGAGAGAGCAAGGTGACAGTGAGGTGAGCTGCTGTGTCTCCTTAATCTGTCACGGTCAAGGGGAGGGACAAGACCTGTAAGTATTACTAAACTGCAGCAGAGAAAAATCAGGTCTCCTATCCTGCCACATAGTGCAGTTCTGGACGGTGTAAATCTCAGAACCAAATAAGGAGAAATGCAAATCCTTAAGCAGGTAAAAGCAGGTGACCTCAAATATATTTCATCTCTGGATTTAGCTGAGTGCCTGGCGTTCCGCTTTAGGAAATACAGATATGCTACCTTCCTGCCTGCTGATTGTACAATGGAGGTGCAGAAACATTGCAGAAGACATCAACTCTGTTCACTTTGTTCTCTCCTGTTAGCACAGTTGCATGCAGCACACCTGATAGGCTTGACATGCTCCTAGCCCGGACTTTCCTTCTCCCAGCCTGTGTACCATTGTGCAGGGGATGATAGAGAATGGTGTCATGACATCAATGTATTAAACAATGTTGTTTATATCTGCCCGGAGTTTAGCTTACAATTGCCATACCTTTTACAAATGTGACAAGCGGCAAAATGACGACAATTTCACTAGGAAATACACTTATGAGCGTACACAGCTTGCTATGTATATTGAACTTATCAGCCTTGGACACCTTTCAGTTTTCGAGAACATTTTATGATAGCGGAGACAGATGTTCTGAACAAATTAAAGGTGTAGTGACACTTAACTAAACAGCGTCAGGAGTCAGGCTGAGCAGAGGGAACGTGTGATGTTCTGGCCTCCATTTATTGTGTTACTGACAACTTATTAAAAAAAAATGCAAGTCACTGAAAAGAACTCTGATCTTTTTAAATGTAAGATAATGTATTAAAATGATGCCGCTGAAATCACTAAATACAACCACTTAATGCTTTTATCTGATGCCCCTAATTCAGAGTCTTAAAAGGTTTGTGTCTGTGCTAGGGGTCAACCGATATTGATTTTTAAGAACCGATACTGATTATGGGCCACCTTTCAGGCCAATAAGCGATATCAGGTACCGATATTCTGTTTACAGTCACCTGATATCGGCCAACCCCACCCCATTCTTCTGCCAGCAGAGGGATTCCGCAGCCGGCAGATGAATGTAAACACCAGGCACTGGGCAGTTTAATAGCCAGCCTGCTATTGGCTATTGCAATAGCAGGCTGGCTATTAAACCCGCCCACTGCTTGTTGTCAATCAGCAGAGGAGGACCTGAAGGAGAAAGTTTTCCTTTTGGTCCGCTCCTGTGCTGATTGATCTGCATTGGCTGGGAGCAATAGCCAGCCTGCTATTGGCTGTTGCAAATTGCAATAGCCAATAGCAGGCTGGCTATTGCACCCGCCCACTGACTGCTGTTAATCAGCAGAGGAGGACCTGAAAGAGAAAGTTTTCCTTCAGGTCCGCTCCTCTGCTGATTTACAGCAGGCAGTGGGTGGTGCAATAGCCAGCCTGCTATAGGCTATTGCAATTTGAAACAGCCAATAGCAGGTTGGCTATTGCTGCCCCTGCTATCTTCTGTTTTTGGCATCCTGACAGCGGCCGCTTGCCAGCAACTCTAAGGCTTTAGTTTTTCAAATTTTTCTGAATTGCATTGGTTTCATCATTTTTGGACACTTTTGAAGCGAATATTGCTTGGCACAGTTCTTCAAACCTCTGACTGTCACCAATAGGATGGAGGACAGTACTGGGGCTCTGTCCACTACTTTCAGCACCCATCTGAAAGCCACCTACACCCTTGCTTCAGCTGAATCTGGGACCCGTGGTGGTGCTGGGACTAGCCCCAGCCCTGGTATAAAGGATGGTAGTGGGGTCCCCTAATTATTCTTTTTTCTGATCATTGGTCGTCATTGATATATTAAGTTTGACCAACGAGATCACTATATTCAGTTCGCTGGTGAGACCTTGACTTTAGGTGCAAGACACAAGTTCACAGCTCCAAATCCCCCTCAACAGTCCCTGAGAGCATCCAGAAAGAATGTCTTGCTGTCCACTAAGGACGCTCTTGCTGGGTGGGTGGATGGTTCACAAGCTCAATGTTGAGGATTTTGAAGCTTCAATGGGACTTCTGTATTGTAAACTTGTCATTAGAGAAATGCTGGGATAACTATTGCTGATCTAATGGATCAGGAGATCTGGCCAAAGACACCCATGCCACTGGCATCATCAAAAGCATGTTAGCAATGGATGTCGATCTACTTCTGGATGATACTACAAAGAGTGATGGACTACAATCTCAAGTTTAGTTTAACAATTTATATTGAGATTGTAGTCCATCATGGGTGCGAGCTTGGAGCGGTGACTACTTTACAACACACACAGGGACCGCGAGGAACAAAAGTAGCCCCCCTCCAGAAGGAAGGACAGTGTCAGCACCAATTCAGAGTTGATTTGGGGATCTACAGCCGAGTGATACACAAATAAGATACATTCTTGGTAATAGTTAAGGTACTTGAATGTATTTTAATATTTATATTTATTTACATATTTTAATGTAACTCCTGAGTTTAGTGTTACTTTAAAGCGGTAGTAAACTGCTATGTGAAGGGTGTGGTTTTTGCCATAATGTGTACATGGACAAAGTATGTGCACAAAGTATGTACAGCATGCTTGCACATTACGGAACTCTTACGGTTCAAGTAACCTCACATAACCCGCCACTTCCAGGTTCCACGGGAATCCATTTGGCCATTGGGTGGTCACTAATGATATAACTCCTGCACATGGATTGCATTGTTAAAATCCTTTTTAAATGTAACAAATAAATACTTAAGTAGTATTAAACTTTCAAACCTTTTTTTTAAAATAATGAATCCAGATCAAACAAATATACAGTACATCGCCCAGCAAAGAATTTCTTTACATTTTTGCCCAAGCGCTTACAGTCATCCTGTTTTCAAACACCTCCAACTCTCTCATCGTGGCTTCCCCGAACCTCCTGTCCAGTACAAGATCACAAGGGACAGAGCACACTACAGCAACTGTCCATCTACTAGCTTGGAGAAGGGAAAATGAGGAGCATGGAGAAGGGGAGTGACTTGCCTTGCTGTACATGTGTATTTGTGGAGACACACATAGGTTACTAGCACACACACAAGGGTGACTCTATAGGCCCCTGAAAGGGAAAGCAGCCACCCTAAAACAGAATATCAGAACCAGTGCTCGGGGGACCCGCTGATTCTGCAGGGAGCTAAAACTTTTAAACATCAAGGATCAGTATCCATTCTAAGTGATTCCATCAGCATCTGAAACAGCTTAAAAACCTTTTGACTTTAATATCACTTTAACTTCCGCTTCAAAACATAAAAAAAACCCTGTGAACTAAATGAATATCGAAACTAATTTTTCGATACTTGCTTACATACCTAAATCCGTTGTATCATCTTGTATTTCACTGTATTAACCCCCATGTATTGGGCACAGTCCCAAATTTTGCATAAGCAGAATTTTAAGCACACGAGTAAATATCAAAGTTTCATTTAAAGACACCAGCTGCCATCCTGCACAGGTTTATTCATTTGGGACTTTTACTAGGTCAACTTAATACTTGACTACTGCTTATTATCCCATCAGTCATCAGGGACGACCCGCGATCTAATTGCCAAGCATTTATGTTGCTCGGCAACCGTAAATACCGAGTCATAATCCTTAAAGGGATAGTGTAGAATTCTGTGCCCCCGTAGCGAAGCAAAGCTTTATTTCCCCCAGCGCCCCGCGCTTTTTAATTCAGAGAATAAAATGCATAATGAATAATTAATTATCTGCTTGAAGGCACAATAGCTGCCTACTTTTGAATATTCATCACTGACATTATTAATTCACTAGAAATCCCAGGGAACGGCGGGATAGGCTGTTAGCTTAGCTGGAAGACAATCGGATCATGCTCGGCGCTCAGCTCCGACGGACTTGAAAAGCTGACACATTTCTCTAAAGTTTTCGGATTGATCTGGCTGATGACCACCTGGTTGGAAAAGCGAAAACATACACAAGGAAGTACGGCGGCTTTGGTTGCCTACAAAGTTGCAAATGCCAAACGGTTAAAGGGTCAGTCCCCCGAAAAACTAATATTTCAAATAGGAGTAGAAGCTGGTATGCTAAATCTGATGTTAACATCTCATAACTCTTGGGGACTCTTCTAGTAAGTGACATTTTTGGGTCCAGTTTCATGCGGTACTGGCAGTAATGGACACAATGGGCCCCTGTGACAAGAACAATTTTTGGGCTTCCCATTCAACTGGCCAAATAGAAACAATTAGTCACTGTGTACTGAGAGATAGACAGAGTCGCCAACGGGCCCCTGAGGCAAGAACAAATTGTGGGATCCCCATTCAACTGACCAAATAGAAACAATTAGTCACTGTGTACAGACAGATAGACAGAGTCACCACAGGGCCCCTGTTCAAGATTAATAATTGGGCCCCCAAGTGTTGATGAAGTAAAAGCATTTATTCACTAGGTATCGATTGACGGCTACATAAAATGAGCTGTGTCCAGGTCTACAAGACAGTGGGAGGCTCCCAGCACCCATCTGATTCTCAGCTAAAATAAATGGGCCACTAATTCCCAGAGGGCCTTTTTGCAATTGAATAGTTTGCCCATATGGTGTGTCCGCCACTATTAGATTGCCTGTGGCACCCCTGCAGCATTTATTTTCTCTATTACTGGCTTACCGTGCCTTTGTTTTGCACCGTGTCTCTGTGAGGGGGTGGCCATCTTGGTGGAGGCAGGGCACGTCAAGGGAGTGTCAAGCAAGGAGAAAAATGATCAATACAGTAGTGACAAATCTCCTGAGAGTAGGAGTTAGAGGTAGCAGTGCCTGAGATCTCACAGTGCAGATATACAGCCATAGGTGCAGGAGTGCCAAGGCACAAGAACATACCAGGAAGTGCACTGCTTTTTTTCAGGAGGAATTCCACCCAAAGGGTAAACCTTTAAAGCCACTGGTTGGGCACAATTAACATTTTCAGATGTTCCCTATAACACTGTGAATTTTAACTTTTGAGTTGCGCTCCACTTTAAGGATGACTCCCACTTCTCACCTGTCCTGGGGGTCCCCCAACGCTAGCCACACATAAATATATTACAAATGGACCTTAAG